TATATTTATTACTGTTAAAGAAGTTTGAGATAAGAACACTTTATTAAATATCTAAACACCTTAAAAGTATATTTGATCAACTCCTCACTCTATAAATTTGATTCACAATTTAGTAACACATAAGGTCATTAAAAAGAAATAAGTATAATTCACCTTCTTGCACACCAGTGTAGACTACAGTGATATAAACTTCATGAAGTATTATCGATCTCAATTTTATCCTCTAAATTAAAAACAAAGACATTTATACAATATTATCTATAAAGAAAAAAAGCACTATTTGACATAGAACAAAATAATCTAAGATTCTCGATTTCTATATTTTATAGATTATGGTATAAAAAAATTAAATACCGTTCTTGTATAGGGAAATCAGAACTAGGAAAAGAGGAAATACATTTCCCACTTAGAAGCCCTATGCAGTTCTTAGGTACTAAATCTGACATAGAGTAAATGAACATGCATTTTTGGTTTCCTGGTTGAATACAATTTCTTTGCAGGTCTTCCAAAGGGCTGCTATAGGCCAAGTTTGCCAACATGGATGATATAACTAACATATGATATAAATTGACATGGTTATCAGCACTTGGTACCCTAACAAGTAACTTTTCCAAAATGAGACAAAAATTATGTCAATTCTTATGAGTTGATCAAATAATGGTTTAGAACTTGCATTTAAATAATTGAAAGCATTTTTTAAAAATAGTGTAATCATATAATCATCTTTGCATATCATCCCCACTTAATTTCAATTCTAGGAACACCATTTTTCCACAAGAAAAATGCCAAAAGCTGAAGCACTTAAACAAAGCAGTATTGTGGTACTACCATGCCTCTATTGTGAAGCATGGATCAGACCTATCTATTGTTTCAGACTACTATCAATAAATACCATCTCAGTCCATGAAAAATAAAATCCTCATATAAACAAGTAAAATTAAAGGCATCTGGAAGAGAGACAACATCTACATTGTGTAATCCATTTATACCATGCCTTAAGAAGTATGGTAATATATTTTAAGAAGGAAAAGATAGGCCTGGGGGTACATTTTCTCAAATGCTAGCCTTTTTCAATTTCAGAAATAATTACAGTCATAATAGTACAACAGCCTGTTCATTGAAAGGGATAAAAGCTCCAGATGAAATCTCAACAGCTTTTCCTTTGTAGCCAGAGACTTTTTGCAAAGGGACATGTCAAACTGTGACTGTTGGTATATGCCACAAATTTTACAAATGGATAAGAAAAATTAGAATCAGATAAAGCTCTAAAACTTGATCTTGAAAAGACAGAAGAAATGATACATAAATAGTTGCACTTATGACTTCCCTTTCAAAAAGTTTATTCTTTTCTTCACCCCGCTTCCAATCCTTGCAAGAATGGCTCATCTAGAAACAAGGTTAGCCGGTCACGTGTCTTTCTCTCCTGACTAGATTTTGGGCAGCTTGAATTTAGCAACGGTTCCGAAACACATCACTTCTTTAGGAATCTTTCTTGAATTAAATGCAACCTAATGAGCCACTAGGAGTCAGGCTACCCTTCCCAGAAAGGTCCAGATTTAGGAGAAGAGCATAAGAAACTGCTGTGAAATGACAGAAGGCGCTCATCTAAGTCACAGCTACAATTCTTGTCCCTAATTCCATATCCTCAGAAATCTGCTCAAGCAAGTGAAACACACCAAAAAACATGAAACCGATTTGTCCTGAAATCTCTGGCTCTACATAAATTCTGCTTCTTTATTATTAGTCTACCTCTTATAATTCACTGCAACAGTAGATACCAAGTTAAGAAACTGCAAGTTGCCTTGAAGAGTAATATTAGGTAAATACAGAAGGCGCATACAGCTTCCCAACTCTTTCATCTCAGGGCACCTTTTGCATAAAAGGTGACCCTCATAGACATAGCACTTCAATATAAGTAGATTTTCTAAACAGTGTCAGGAAATACTGCTAAAATTGCCAGTGATTTCTCAGTTACACACCCAGATCAATCTGTGATGCAAAGTAAGGCAGGGTTAAGGTAGTAAAGAGAAAAGAAGTAATTACTTTTAAAGCTACAGTATTTCTATCCAAAGCATTCCTTAAATTATTTAAAGCATTTATTATGCTACCACTTTAGCATCCTCCATACATCTCTTCTTTCATTTGCCATAGTAAACAGAATTTTTGTGCTGTATTCAAGAAGATCCATGTCCTCATTAAAACTATTTTTCAGTCAATTTCTGTCATGACAACTCATGATTAGCCACACTAATGAAGAGAAGAATGGCACAGAAAATTTCACCTAGAGATATCTAAAGCAATTTATTTTTGGCATTGGTATGCTTTCTTTTATTTTACAGCAAATTTATCATCATCAAAATAGTTTTACTTAAATTTATTTTAAATTATTATATTTTCCCCAAACTCTTACTTTTTTGAGGTAAACAAAGTAGAAATGTTCTAATTAAAGAAGAGAATCTTACATGAGCTGGAAAATCTGTTACAGTTAAATCAGAAGGAAGATATGTATGAACTATTAGTAGATTTTTACCTAGAAGCAATTTTGCAGGTGCACCTGCAAACTTGTGTATGTGTTTGTGGGTGTGTAAATATGTAAATGTTTATGTATGGATGTATGAGTGTGTGTTCATATTATGCATATATGTACAGAGAAGTTTTGGGCTGAGAAATGTTGCCACTTGTATTATGAAATATTAATTAACATTCTCATTAGTGCTACTTTAATTTCTGTATATTTTGTGAGGCAGTATATAGAAATAGAAGTAAAATGTTATAATGAATATGACAATAATGGCATAAATATCAGCATAAAAAATGTAATGCCAAGTCAATTTTTTGTCACTCATTTCAGGAAATATGCAAACCACCCAAAAAAGAAAGTGTGAAAAATCAACTTATATTGATTAATATGCTATGGCTGTTCATAAACCAATGAAAAACACTATATTAAAAATTATAAACATCCACAAAAAGTCTTCTAAATTATTTTGGGTTCAACAGCTCAGATTTTGAAAATAGTACGTAGAGGATTCTATCACCAGAAAGAACAAGAAACATATTAGAAATGAACATATCTCGTCTCCTCTACCCAAATGATAATACCTTATTAAGAGCTAGATGGGAAAAGGATAATCTTTCTCACTCCTGGTATGGACTACAAATGAGCTGGTTAATTTCACTTAAAACCAAAAATAAACAGAAAACAAATACACGTATCTGAATCTAACTTTTATTTTGAAAGCATAAACTTTAAAATTCTGTTAGTATGCCGTTATTTCATTTTAGAGCTATTATATGAGTAACAGTACCACACAGTAGTTAGGAAAAGGGGATCAGGGTTCAGACTGTCTGGACTTGAATCCTGACTCTGTAACTTTGCAGGAATATGACCTTAACCTCCTTCAATGCCTCGCCTTCTGCATCTACATGGTAGGGCTGTTTTGAAGATTAAAGGAACTAATATATTAAATACTTAGAATAGCAACTGAATATAGAACACTTTATAAATATTAGCTATTATCATGTCATGAGCTTTCTCTCTGCCTGATAAATATGATGTTTTTTTTTGACAAGTTGGTAAGTTAAAAACCTCTTTGAAAATTATAGTAAATCAATCTTATAGTATATCAGGGTTTGGAAGCCTCCCTACAGCAATCTTTTTTAATTTCATTTTTTTTTTTAGAGGTCAACACATCATCACACACACAAAAATAAAAAACAAAGCATCTTTATTGTAATTGGATATACCAGTTATGGCAAATTTAACTGTTAACATCTATTTCACACATAACTCTGATGTTTCAAGGTTTATGATTCTATCCTAAAATTTCATTTCCCATGAAAGCTTGCAAATATATCTCAGTCTCTATGTCATTATTTTTTCATTGCTTGTCTTTTAGTGTGTATTTGGATTGAATTATTAGCAGCCAAGTTAAAATTACATATATTTTTAGAATTTTAAAATGCAGATTCCACAAACACACTGGAAAATAACAGTGAAATCACATGATGTACAGAAGAAACAAACCAATATTAAAGGTGGGACTGGATGTGAATGAGTGTTTCAAATTGCAGATCAAGATTGATGTTGATGACAGCCCCTGTCTAGATCTACCCAGGTTGGCTATGGGGGTGTTCAGTACTAATATGAAGTCAGAAGTTTGGAGACACAGCCAAATACCCTAATCTTCCCTTAATAACACATTATGGCCCATTCTTAATAATGACTTCTATTTTTAAGTGATACTACTTCATGGAGTAAATCTCTTTTGTAAGGTTACTACAGCCTACTTAACGTAGAAATTTATTTTCTTTCAAACTTGAAAAGAGTTTCTGGTCCTGATACTGTACAAATTAGTACACAAATCTATTTAATTATTTATATAATTATGATCGCATTGAGTTTGATGTTTTCATTCTCATTTCACATATGAGAGAACTTCCTTTTTTAAGCATATTTCCTGCTTTTTGTTCTCAAGTAAGCAAACCAGAACTACAAACGGTGTAAAGAGGTGGGAGGAACCCTAATTATATGTAAGATTTTTCCTTTTAGGTCTTACGTAGACCGCAGCTAAGTCTAATTACCAGTTGACTCTGTTTAAAATGAAAGCTTATATTAACTGAAAAAGAGACACCAAAGCCGTTTGTTTTGAAACTTTAAACAAATAAATCTATTCCTAGTGAATGCACTTCAGCGTATTGAAAAACTGGATGAAGTGACTCATATTAACTAAGAAAAATGGGCACAGTATAGTTCTCAAGCCCGAATCAGTAATCCAAAATGTGTACCTAAAAATAAGAGTATCCTGACATAATCATGATATTTAATTAACTTATTTCTAACTACAGCTGAAATTAAAGTAATTATTGCATAAATTTTTCCATTCATCTAAGCTCTCCATTTAGTATTTTAAAATCTAACTAAACAATATCGTGTTTAAAATACAGTGATTAAAAATAAACACATAAAATTTTTTATTTTAAAATTATTAGATTCTTACCTTGATCAAAGGCCTTTCCTGGACTCCAAGTACGGAAATAATCATCCTAAGGGGGAAAATAATGTGAATTGAGTGTATATGAGTAATAAAAATGTAAACATTCATATAAAATCTAAAATAAAATATGAAATACAGAAGCTGAATACAAACCTCTACTTCCTGCAATGGCAAGCAGCAAATTATAAAAAATAAAAAATAAAGAAAGAAGAGAAAAACAACAGTTATCAAAAGGGAACACAATGTTTACATGTTATAGAAATGTCTTTCAAAAAATGTGTTCATTTTCAATAAATTGTGAGTCAAAGTTTACTATAACAATTTAACTATTTTTGGTTGCCACTATATCTAAATATTATAATGCAATACTTTTAATTGCCATTCAAAGTGCAATATAGCATGCAGATAATTACCTTAAGCTAATAAGCTATAAAGGTATTTTACCAGTTTCCATTTATACAACTTCATTTTCTACTAGTACAATAGTAAATGGAACCATTAATATAGCAGAGGAAATATCCAGTGATTCTGCACTAGCCTATGTGTACAAATATACTTTACACAAATCAGCCACTTGTTAATTGACTATCTAAGGAGTTCAAAATGCAATCGGAAGCTTGAAAAAAAAGATGCAAACCTAACTCAATCTTGCCCAAAGTTTAAATCTTTGGGAAAAGAATCATCGATATATTTATCATATAGTTAGTAAATGTGACCATACAACACAGAAGTGGGGTAATGTATACTGAAAATCATTTTAAAAGAGAAAAGCCAAGTTGACTATATTTTATTGGTTGTTTTTACATCCTAGAAGCCTTGAACCTCATACATATCATCTTTTATGGTAAACAGAATAGATTTCACTGTTTAAATTAATAAGCGATCCTCACTATAGTAGGAAAGGGTAGCACATTGTGGTGAAGATCCTTGATTAAACAATTCCTAGCTCAATACTCTTAGACCCACGAGGTCAATCCATTGAAAAGCTACAGAACATAGGAAATCCACAAAGGCCAAGCAGAGCGTCTTTGAATCTGCTTCCTTATCTTTGTGCTAACAACCTCCAATGTACAAAGAGGAAAAGGTAGCACATATTTTAATTATGAAAATAAATACATTTCTCCAATTTATTTATTCAAAAATTTTAAATTGTTACAAAATCTTTCCTTTATTATGACTAATTATTCATCACCACCTTCTGCATGCTCACCTCACCAATTTCAAATGAAAGAAAGAGAAGGAAAACAAGAAAAATCACAGAAGACACCTCTGTCAGTCTCTTATTTGTGTTGAGATAGGGTTATATTAAGATGAGGGCATGTTAATGACTATCCACAACGATAGGTTCTGCAGAATTATCTAGGGTTAGATTAAAGGAGGATAACACCACTGGATATTTAAATAAATATTGACTGTTGAGTCTTCTTTAAATCTCTTTTTTAAAACAACTTGAGCATGACAGAATTCTTAGAAAACGAAGTTTTCAAATTAAATTGCTCCACTCAAAATTTCTAAACTTTAGCTGAGAATCATAACACAATCATTTAATATCTTTCTTGTTTAGATCATATCTCATGGTTTGGGGGTGATGACTATTTATTCATTCTGAGCACGGAGAAGAGCTAGAGTTTCTCCTGAAGCATAACTGAAAGCTAGACAATGAGCACACAAGTGATGGATCTAGAAGAAAACTTGAATTTTAAGGCTGGCTTTACCACTTATCAGCTGCAAAACTTTAGAAAAGGTAATTAATCTAAACCTTAAAACCTTGTGAATAAAGTTGGAAAATAATACCTACCTATCTGGTAAGGGTGCTGTGGGGATTAGTTATAAAAAAATGTAAACAACAGCACATTCGCTGGCATAAAGGAGGTGCTAAAGCATACTTGACAATCACAAGGGCCAGATTCAACTCTTTAAGTATCTTTGAGTGATGTCACCATTGGACAAACTCTCATCGTTGCTAACAAAATCCTTTAGTTTTTTGAGAAAGAGCCAAGGGCTCCTCATAACATTTGTGAAAGTGATGTCCAAACTGCCCTCACCCCAAATGTCAAATGTTAGTTGCAGTAAACTTTTAAAAAATGTTAGTTGCATTAAACTTTTTAAAGTCTACATTTATGACTATAGTAGTTAATGCAACCAGGCAAGTATTTCTGCTATCACCTCAGACTATTCTGAAGTGGTACAAGCTACCAGTGGCATCACTCAAGAAGATGTAGGTAAGTTTCTATTGAAATAATGACACCATCCGTTTAAGTATCACAGTTCTAGAAGCGGGAATAAGTGTAGAACTGATGTTTATTGAACTGAAGCCTGATAACATGAAACCAACACGTTTGACACAACACATAGTGTTTGAAATACTCAACACCTTTACAAATTAGCAGGAATTGTGTGTGTGTGTGTGTGTGTGTGTGTGTGTGTGTGTGTGTGTAAAATGCATTATGGTAAATCTAACCTCAACCACTTTTAATTTAACTTCCTTCAGAAAAACATGATCACATTGGGTTAGTTTGGGACCATAGTTATATAAAAATCTATAATACAATATAAAACATGAGCCAGGTTCTTTTTGTTATGTCAAGGGCAATCTCAGAGTCTGGCCATTGTGCGGATCTGATATAGTACAAAAAAGCAAAATAGTTAGCCTATCAGCTATTTTTAGGTATTTTTCTTTGTGTTCTCACATCACTAGACTTTTTTCTGAAAACGGTTTCACCTCATTAAATCTTAGGAATTTTGCCAGGATGAAAAATAAAAAGTATTTTCACATAAGTGTTCATTCAGGCGCAATTGCTTTTGTCTCCAAAAGCTTTGTGTGAATATTGGTTGTTCTCAGACTTTAATTTAGATCTGAAATAAGCCAAGCAAGGATTTAAAATAACAACTGCAAAAAATGCCCCCAATTGGAGAAATGCAGGTTCAGATGAGTGAAACTAAGCCTAAGTGTTTCAACAGGCAAAGCTGAATTCTTGTTGCTCGTCTTCCAAAGCTTACATGAGTGAATTATAGCAGCAACAACAATTTAATATTATGACTTTGCCAATTTCTTATACTTAAATAATGTTTATTAATATTTTTAAAAGTAATCTGCCTAAGTAAATTTGCTTTGTATGTCCTATTATTTAAACATTTTCCTTGTGGTTTTAATGCTCTATTTTTCCCAATTAAAAAAAAATGTGTATTTAATATAGAACACAGTGTCTCATCCTTGGCATTACTGATATTTGGGCCAGAGAAGTCTTTGTAAATGGGGAATCGGGCTGTCCTGTTCATCACAGGCTGTTTAGCAACATCCATGCTCCCAACCCATGAGATACCAGTAGTGACCTCCCTCAAGATGTGACAAATCGAAATGTCACCTAATATTGCCAATGTTTCCTCAGGGGGAAAATCACCTATTTGAGGACTACCAATGTAGTGATTAGAAAACACAAAAAAATACATAAATCAAAATATCCTACAGCAATGGGTTGCTAACAGTAACAGATTTTTCTTCACAAATGTTTTATTATAAGATTATACATTCAATTTTATATTCAGCTCTCTGTGTAACATTTATTAAGAACATTTTACAATTGTATCAATATGTTTTGCCAAAATATTTAATGGCTGTCTAATATCCTTTTGTATAGATTTATCATCATTTAGTTATCTCTTCATATGTTTATGCTTTCATATTGTTTATAAGATTTTGCTATAACAACTCATACATAAATATCTAAGCATATATTTCTTATAAATACAGATATAAGTTTAGGAAGGTGATCGCTGGGAATACATGCTGTGCCAGAATAGAGAAATTAGTTTCCGGTGACAATAATTGGTTATAATCAAGCTTTATCCAGATGGAGTGGGTTGGAAGGACATATTTATACCCAAAGATCAACTGTTGTTTCATTCATTCACTACTACATCTGTACTGATAAATTCTCCCATTGCCTGAAGGAATAATATGGAGGAGCAAACTAGATCAGGGATTTCTTAAGCATCTTCATAGACAGTGATATGTGACCAAGCGGGAATGGGAGTCTCAAACCTAAGAACTCTACAATGCCTAGAGATGAACATAATGCTCAGGCATTATGTTAGCCATTATTAAGCTATTCGACCTGCTCCAGTGGCTATAAAGAGCTATAGTGTCAATAAAACCTTTCTAAAATATATACCTGAAAAGATGTTGCTAGCTAAGCATGCTTCTTTTGAATAATAATCAATACAGGTACTATTGACAGCTACTGGACACAATTGTGTCCTATATTCCCATAAGCATTCTGTAATTTATATCACACAACTATTACAAAGTATTTTTAAGCTAAAGAAAAAGTATTCCATAATTATAAAATAAGACACAGGAGATTATACGTTTGGAGACATATGGCAAAAATAAAATAAGTGTTAAATTTAAATGAAATTTAAATATTATAATCATGACTGACTTGTGAGATAAATATTATATATCTCACAAGTCAGATATATTTTAACCAATTACAGCTTTGTAAAAAAATCCATGTGCAATAAGGTTAATAAGACATTTAAAATTTTGCATAGCTACCTTATACATGACTATGGAAATCTAAAAACCTTAATCCCAGAGACAAAGTAAATACACACACACACACACACACACACACACACACGTTCAGTTACAATATTGACAATTGTATGCATTGACACTTTATAATTACAGTGTCTTTGCAATGAATTATCCCGTAAAGTGATGACATCAAGACCATACTATGCTTAACAAGAAGAAAGCCGTTCTCTCTTAGTTTTTCTTATAATTGACAGTCCCACTTGATATAACATTTTTTATTCTAAGGCATAGTTTATTATATTAAGTACTTATAAACTGTATGTCATTCATGATACAATATTTAAAATATCGTTTTTAACTTTTTCCCAAAAATGGATACTTCCAAAACCAAGTGTTTTATCAGTGATGTCATTCATATGGTAATTGTTTTAAATTTTGAATGAATTATGATAAAAAAATTAAAATTTGAGAAAATATCAGAAATAATAATTTTGAAGATTTAAAGATAAATTTATCTTTATATAAATTTTCAAATCCTAGCTTAACAATTTCAATTAATGAATTAGAAACAAAAGAAGAAGAAAAACAAAAAGGAAGATATAACAGGACATCGAGGCCAAGA